GGGGGGGGGCTCTGATAGTAAAATGGAGGAGGTGCGAACCCTGTCAGGGTCTCTGATAGTAAAATGGAGGAGGTGCGAATCTCCTCGGGGGCCTCTAATGGTAAAATGGAGGAGGCATGAATCTTATCAAGGTCTCTGACAGTAAAATGGAGGAGGTAGCAAACCTCATTGAGGCCCCTGATAGGAAACGGAGGTTCCTTACTGAGTACTGGGCCTCAAGTAGACTAAAGCCTAGATGGAAGGAAGGAATGCTTAAAGGATTGGGAGGTCTCTGCTGCCGTTACAGAGATAGCAACTCTGAGCAAAGAGGGAGCCTATAGGAGAGGTGAGGGGCCGTGGTGGGGGCGTCAAGGTGTGGCTGAAGGCATGTTGTCTGTAGTCTGGTACATTGAGGGACGGGTAATTTACATCGGTACTCTCCCTGAGGCCAGGCCTGAACCCTTTAGAAACTAACCTTCAGTTTTATATAGACTGTATGGACATTACTTTTCCAAGGACCAGTCTGAATTTAAAAAAAAAAAATATTTATATGTCTGCAGAGAGAACATTAGATTAGCTGGAGTTTGAGTTCCAGGCAGTTGTAGGCTGGGTGCTGACTGCTGGGTTTTGACAATTGAATTCCTGTTTAAAACAACTGGCTAAGTGCTTGTAACTGCTGAGCTGTTTTTTGAGCCCCATTTTGGGGGAGTGATTTATAAGACATTATTGCTCTGATTCTGGAGATGGCCTCCTAACATTCCTGCTTCAATCATTTGAGTACTGGGATTCTAAGAATGTATAAGCACAGCCATCTTTGTATATTTGTTTGTTACTTTTTGTTGGTTTTGTGGGTCGAATGTATTTGAGACAGGTTCTCATTGTAAGCCAGAATGATCAGCACCTCTCAATGTGGCTTGGGACTGGACTTGAGCTAGGCATTTTCAGCCTCCAGATGGAATGTTCTGATCAAAGAGAGACTTGAGTCACCATGTCTAGGTCATTTGGGGGTGGGGAGCAGTTTTGACAGTTGAACCCAGGCCTTATTGCATGGTAAACATACCCTGTACTCCCAGACTACACCCCCAACTATGCTGACTTTAACTTTGCTATCAACAGATTTGGGGCGTGCCTGTAATCTATAGTGATAGCAGCCAGGGGTTCATTTGGGGTCAGATACTGCCTTAAAGATCTGGTCAAAAGTTTTAAGAATCTGACAGTGATGGAACCAAAACTTAGATACTCCAGGGGTTAAGTACAAATACATTTGGAGTCAGGGCTAAAGCCATCGTTAATTTTTTTTTTCTTTTTAAGATTTTAATTTTCACTAGGCTTTCGTTTCAGCATCATACACCTTTAGTCCCAGCGCTAGGGAGGCAGAGGCAGGTGGATGTTTGTGAGTTCAGGACCAGCCTGGTTTACACAGTGAGTACATTCAGGTCGGTCACACATAGAAACCCTGTCTCAAAATCATAAAAAGATTTTAATTTTCAACTATGTATATAGATTTGGTTGGAGGTCTGAGGTGGTAGACCCTCCTAGAGCTGGTGTTACATGAAGTTGGGGACCCCCTGATGTGAGTGTTGAGAAACAAGCTGTGGTCCTCTGCAGGAACAGTGTGCACTCTTAACTACTGAGTCGTTTCTCTCAACCATCTTTTTTTTTAATTCAGAAATTACAGATTGTTAACTTCTTATTTAATAATATACAGAAACTGGTAACTTTGTTTAACTAATTTCATTCTTTTTGGATAGTTTACATTTTATTGGTTTATTTAAGTTGCTTATTTTAGATTCAGGTGAGAGATTTTCTTTTCTATTTTAAATGACAAAACATTAAAATATATTTTTTCCCTGAAAAAAGCTGTCCGAGAAATCTGTGAAGCCACTGATGGCAAACCCCGAGCACATAGCACTCCATCACTACAATATTGCTAATGAAAAAGAGGAAGTAGAGGATGTGATAGAAATAGATGATGGACTGGACTGCTCACTGTACTCTACTCCTTCAGGTACCATCCACCATTTCTAAGTTTGATAGTTCCCATAGTTCAGTTTATTTGTGTGTGTTGGGAAAGGGATTTGTCAAAGGACAATTTAGAGGAGTTGGGTCTTTCCTCTGACCATGGCTGTCTCAGGGATCAGTCATGTGGCTTTCAGGTTTGACAGTAAGCTCTGTACCCTTTCCTTCTGAGTTGTCTTGCCTGCCTGGTTCATTTGATTTTTACATAGCCACCTGAAATATAATAAAAAATTAGTGTTTTCATATACTTTGTTTATTCAATCTTCACAAGTCTATAATAAAGGTTGAGAATTACATATAGTACTTTGTTTGAACAGTGCACATACATCAATAAATTGTAAATAACTTACAGTGGTATTAACCAAGAAGGGCTTGAAATGATCTTCTTAGAAAATGGTAATGACTTATGATTTTATTTTATCTAACTTTCAGAGTAATATTTCATTTTTATTTCTGCTTTAAAATATTATGTTGGAAAATGCCTAAAGAAAACTATAAATAAATTTACTATTTAATTAAAATTAACTAAAATAACATATTTAATTTATTTTTGTTTTCAATAAAAATAAGTTTTTTATTCTTCTTGTTAAATGCAGGAAAAGTTCCAGTATTTGATAATCTTGAGACGACATGGGTTCCAACAAGAAAGGGTGATGATGCAGGGTAATATGATACATTTTTTTGCCTGTTCAAAAATTATTTTCATACCTGTAATCCCATCGCTAGGGAGGTGGAGGCAGGAAGGTAAGAAGTTCAGTGACATTCTCAGCTACATAACTACTTCAGTGATCATTTTGGGCTAACAGAGCTCCTACTTTTAAAATAAAAGCAAAAAAGAATAGGAAAAGTTTGCTTTTCTAATTTAATAACTACTGGATGCGTTATTTGACATGTGATATTTCCTTGAAACCAAAAATTTTATATTACAAATGCACACTTATTAAAAGGCTTGGCTTTGCTAGTGCTTTGTGCATGGGAGTAATGCTTGACCCCTGAAATAAACCTCAGTTGTAATGCTTTGATGTAATTTCTCTACAGATCTGAAATAATGGAAAAGATGAAAAAAATTGGAGGTACAGTTTCAATGTATTTGTATATAGAGAAAATTGGTTAAAAATATATAGTGTTAAAATAATATATTTGAAAAATATAGTGTTAGTATTTTATAGGATTAAACTATATAGTGTTGGTGTGCTATAGGATTAAGCTATATAGTGTTGGTGTGTAATAGGATTCAACTATAGTGTTAGTGTATTATAGCATTAAACTATAATGTTAGTGTGTTATAGGATTAAATTATATAGTGTTGGTGTGCTATAGGATTAAACAATATAGTGTTTATGTGTTACAGGATTAAAGTATATATTGTTGTGTGCTATAGGATTAAACAGTATAGTGTTAGTGTGTTATAGGATTACACTATATAGTGTTAGTGTGTTATAGAATTAAGCAATATAGTGTTAGTGTGTTATAGGATTAATACATAGTGTTGGTATGCTAAAGGGTTAAACTATATAGTGTTAGTGTTGTAGAGGATTAAACTATATAGTGTTAGTGTGTTACAGAATTAAAGAATATAGTGTTAGTGTGTTATAGGGTTAAACTATATAGTGATATTATGTTATAGGATTAAACTATATAGTATTAATATGTTATAGGATTGTTAATACTTTTTTCTTCATAGTAGGAATGTGCACAAATATTTTTTCATAGCTCTAAGCTTTTCTTAACCCTTTTCTTGATAGGAAAAGTAAAATAGTTATTTTGTATACGTGTGACATAAATGACATTATGAAAAATAAAATGGATGAGAAAATTTTTTATAATTCTTTGGATTCCCAGTTTTATAAATATACATCTTTATATATACTGGTGTTTCATTTACTTCATTCTCTAGGAATCCTCCTGGATTCCTTTCTCCCTTCCAACTTATTTTTTTTTTAAACTGTCTGTACTGTAACGGACACCTAGAATTTAGTAGACCTCTAGACTTAAATAGGCCCCAGACCATAATACAATATGATAGAAACCCAGAAAGTTGGCAGAAATTCCCACTGTTTTAGTCAGGGTTGCTATTGTGATGAAACACCATGGTCAAAGCAACTTGAGGAGGAAAGGACTTACTGGACTTAGATTTCCACAGCACTCTTCATTCCTGAAGACAGTCAGGACAGGAACTCAACAGGGCAGGAACCTGGAGGCAGGAGCTGATACAGATGCTATGAACGCTTACTAGCTTGCTCATCTTGGTTTTCTCAGCCTGCTTTCTTAGAGAATCCAGGAGCATGTGTCCAGGGGTGCAGTCAGAGCCCTCCCTCATCAATCACTAATCAAGAAAACAGCCTATAGGCTTGCCTACATCCTTATCTTATACAGACATTTCCTTAATTGAGGTTACCTCCTTTGAGATGAATTTAGATTGTGCCAAGTTGACATAAAACTAGCCAGCCCCTCTGCCAGAACAGTCACAAAGTCTAAGTTACTAGATGTGGCTGGGAAAGCTCCCGAGGGAAAAATCCATGCAGGTATTAACCCTGCATTTTTGCTTCTGCAGTTCCACCTCTCACTAAGTGAAATCTGCCAACCAGGATATGATTTCTGTGCATAAAAGGCTGAGAACTGTAAGGCTTAGGGCTGCATGATCTGAACAAGTTCTCAATGTAGCTGCTGGCTGGCAATAAAGACTTCTGAATAGGAACTATAAGAGTGTCTATGTGGAGGTTTTGGTGGGCTTACTTTGCAACACTACATAGCCCTGACTGTCCTGAATTTCACTATGCAGATAAGGTTGGCCTCAAACTCATAAGTATCCACATGTCTCTGCCTATCTCTGCCTCTTTTTATGATTTGTATATTTAACACTCTGAGTCCAAATAGTCCTGCCCATATCAATTTTGAGGATTTTCAAGATAGGATTTCTCCTTATAGCACTGGCTGACCTGGAAGTCACTTTGTAGACCAGACTAGCCTTGAACTCAGGGTTCCACCTGACTCTGCCTACTGAGTTCTGGGATTAAAGCCATGCGCCACCACTGTCCAGCTGCTTATTATCATTTTTAACAATAAGTTATGTATCAAAAATGAAAGGCAGTTTTTTACTGGCCAGTGAGAGATCTTTAATCAGATGTAATAAAGACATTAAGTTTTAAATTCTCTTTTAATTATCAATTTCATGAGCTTTATAAGAGACAGTACTCATGTTTATTTGATTTCTTATGTAATAACTCTTTTGAGATTATAATAAATTATGCCCTTTTTCACTTCCCTTTCCTCCTTTCAAACCATACAGTGTATGCCAGCCCTGCTGTATTTGAAATTCATGGCCTCTTTTCTTTTTAAATCTTGTGATGTGTGCTTTTATTTTAATTGTTGTGAGATATGCATATACGTACACACACACACACACACACACACACCACACTGTTTGTTTCTGAGACAGGGTCTCACTATGTAGTTCATTCTGGCTTGAAAATTTCTATTTAGGCCACCTTGGCCTTTAAATGGGATATCTACTGACTGCCAACCTGGTGCTGTAGTTATACGATTGCGGTACCTCGTCTAGTTTAGGAGACAATATTCTTTAAGAACAGTTAACATGGTCTTCCTTTTGAGGAATTCTTTATACTGTCAGGTCTTTTTTGGAGGATTTCCACAGCTGGGTGGTATTAGAGTAGTTTCCTAAATTTATGGGAGATACTGAAAGCATAGACTATTAGTTTCATCATATATAGTGAAAGGTGATTATGGTTTTAAAAGTTTAGAAACTATGAAAATGTCCTGCTGTAAGAATTCCTCCTCCCAGTAGCTCCCAGTAGCCTTTAAACTACCCACTCACCTGAGCATGGCCTCTTACACTATTTATGCTGATGTAAAGCGTGTGTCCGGCCTCTTTTCCGGCTGTGGGATTCGGTTGCTGTTCCGCTTCCAGCAGAGGATTGGGACTTGAGTCTACCCCTAAATAAATAATCTTCTATTATTCTCAATTCTGAGCTAGGGTGTGATTTCTTTTAAGCGTCCTTTCTTCAATGTCCTATAAAAAGTTTCACAAATGGCAGGTAGTGATGGCAAACACTTTTACTCCAGCACTCGGGAGGCAGAGATAGGCAGGTCTCTATGACTTTGAGGCCAGAATGGTCTACAAAGCGAGTTCCAGGATAACAAGAGCTGTTACACAGAGAAACCCTGTCTCCAAAAAAAAGCAAAGCTTCACAAAAGTATCTAAAATATTCTTGATAATTACTAAACTAAGATTTATTTCATCTTTGGTCTTTTCTATTTGTAAAAAGTAAATTTCAGTGTACCATTACTATGCTACATATAAATTTTTGTCACTTCATTTAATTATCATTTTTTAATGCTGGCCTTCAGTTATTAGAAATTTGACCTAAATTAAGAATATTTTGAGACAGGATTTTACTAAGTATCCCTAGTTGGTCTAGAACTCACTATGTAGACCAAGCCAGTATTGAACTCAAATATCAGCCTGCATCTGCTTCCCAAGTGCTGGTATAAAAGGTACGTGACACGACACCCAGCCTGGATTCTGGCTGTTTAATGGTGCATATATATATAAAATTATATAATGAGTTCTATTACTTTTGTTTTGTTTTGTTTTTCCAAAACAGGGTTTCTCTGTGTAGCCCTGACTGTCCTGCAGCTCTCTCTGTAGACTATGCTGGCTTTGAACTCAGGGATACAACTGCTTCTGCCTCCCGAGTGCTGGGATTATAGTCGTGCACCACCACCTCTCAGCCATATGATGAGTTCTAACAATAATACAGTCAAATATCCTTCCAATTAGAGAGTACTCTTAAAAAAAAAAGTTGATACTTATAATTTTCCCTTGAGGAAAAATTAAAGTCTCTTCATGTTCTATTGTTTTGTTTATTAGTCTTTCTTAGGATCCCCAAATTTAAAAATTATCTCCAACAGGAACACTATAATTGTAGTAATGTTAGGTATTTCACATTTACAATGTCCAAGAACAGAAATGTTTCCAATTTTAAGATTTTATTTTACTTTGTAATACTTGTATAAAAAGTGAAACTCTTGAATGCTACAAAATGTGAAATGCGTGAGGTTTTTGTTGGTACTATTTTTAAAATGTCTTTGTTGTAGTTGAATGAATTATATCTGTAGCTTTGTCTACCTGCATATGTGAGAGCAATATCATTTTCTTCAACATTAAATTTTAATGAATATTTTTTCAATATAGTTGGCCTTAGTGATACTGTTGATGAAAAGAAAAAGAGAATGGATTCGTATATTAAAGATGTTGCCAAAGACTGTAAGAGGAACATCAAACAATATTTGAAATTTCATGAAGATGAAGCGTAAGACTCTTCATTTCTTTAGAGCCACATTTTTATAATTTTATAGTAAACGTTGGTGCTAATTACTTCATTAACTGGAGTCTATCGAAAAATTTTGATTTACTTTTTCTCTGAGCTGACTTTCTGAATTAAGATGTGTTTCTGGGAAGCCTGTGAGGATCATGCTTTTTCTCCTTTTAAATAACAGTTGAGAGTTATTTTCAAAAACTCATTTCCGTTCATTCTGGGAGACAGTAAAAGGTAGATGTCATAGAAACCTCATTTTTTTATAGATATGCTTGACAAGGTAGGAGAAGGTCAATTTAATATTGTAAGTACTTTATGTATTTAAGAGATGTAATCATTCCCTTGTGCCAAAACAGATTTTAAAAACTTTTTTCTAACATTCATACATATATTATCATATATATGATATCATATATAAACATATATAAGTATCTCATATATCCTTATTCAATAAGACAGGCATATGAGAACATCTTTTTGTTAGGAAAAATAGTTCTAGTATCAACACAAACCTAATTTTATTTTTTGATTTCCCACAAGAATATTTACTCTGCTATTATATCATTCCTTTTATAGTACATGATATAGGAATTTAATTTTTCTTTGAATATTCTCTTCATCTTGATATGTAATGTAACATTCATTATTATGTTTTGCAGGCGAGAGTTTAGAATTGAATATACTGAGAAGATTATAACTGTGTTTCAGCAATGGAATTTAAATATAAAGGAAATTGGAGACGAAGAAGAGAAACTCTCTGTTGGTATCACATTTGCTCTTATAATTAATCTATCAGTACTAAGCCTTGAGTTAAAGTAGAGAAGCTAGCCTTGCATTAAGCACATGAAAATGAACTGGTTTTCCCAGTCTGTTACTGACTTTGTGTTCTGTTCCTGGTGAGCCATAAACTACATAAATGGACACAAGTACAATGCTCATGAAAGCCATGGGACTTCTGATATCAGTTAAAATTCTTACAATTTCAAGCAACAGAAACTTGTAAAAGAATAAATGATTACTGATTTCCATAAAAGAAATTGTGGGTAGGTTAGTTTCAGACATAGTTGAATGGTGTGTAGAATACATTACATGGTATTGTCTGAGCTGTTTGTTGGTCTTAGTGCACCTACTAAATGCCATATGCTACATCTTCCATTTTTAGACTTAGCTACAGATTTATTAACTTAGTGAACTGAGTCAGTCTTTTCTCAATAGCCGTGGCAGAATATTCTTGTGCAGGAATATCACTGATGTAGTTTTGAGCATTTTCCTATTAGAGAACTAATCACTGTAGCCAGAACATGATTTGCATTATTTTCGTCCTCTCCATCTTCCTCTCCTTCTTTCCTTCTCCTTTACCTTCCATCCCTTTTCTAACCTTCTTTTTCTTCTTCCATTTCTACTTCTCAATTCTTGACTTAACCCAGGGCATTTTGCAAGGTAGGCAAGTATACTTCTGCAGAGCTCCAGCAGCAGTTCATGACACCATTTACTCCTGGCAGTCAAATGTGTGTTAATTCTCTTCCCGTATTAATGAAAACTAACCCCATGTATACATTTTATTGTAGTGGTATTTCATTTGTATTTTAATAAATAAAGCTTGCTTGAAATACAGAGAGTAAAAATGTCCCACTGGTCAGTCACTGGGGAGGTCACTCCAAGAGGCCTAGGTCTCACCCTAGTAAGATCTTTTGGTCTTGTCTTTAGCCTTTGATTTATTCTAACAATTACTCTGTTTGTGTAGTAAAAATGTCCACTGGTCAGTCTTTCAGACCAGGCAATGGTGACACGCGCCTTTAATCCCAGTGCTGTCATCTAGCTAGAGCTGAGGTTTCCAAGGTCATGATTTAGCCAAATAAATGAGAGTAAGTCAGGAGCAAGGTGCATGTGCAAAGCAGTATTTTAACAATTGGTTATAGAATTTAAGGTTGGAAAGAAAAGTGAAGATAACAGGAACAGGGACAACAGTGAAAAGAAGGTAGGATTTAGTTAATGGATTTTTGGTCTTGAAGGATTGCTCAGCCATAGTACCAAAAAGAGTAAACTCCAGTAGGAAATGTTAGAGTATGAGCTCATAATACGTGGAGAAGAAAGTGTTTCTATAGTGATAATAGCTTAGATGCTGGAGGCATAATGTTTTGGATCTGATTCAGATTTCAGCGATAGTAGCCTTGGAACAATAGACAATGTACCATTGCATCTCAGTTTCCTCATCATTGGAAGAAAATGGAGAGCATCGATTTCCTATAGTTGTTGAAGTATTAGACGAGTTTGTATACAATTAATCAACTTAATAGAGTTCCAAATAATATCTGCCATGGAGTTATTCCATATTTTCATTCCAACACTAAGAAAGGTGTGTTATGAGTAATTGCAAAACATAGAGTACAAATGTTTAAATAAGTGGGTGGATAAAGTAGGTCAGAGAACAAAATCATGGATGGAGAATAAGTTAAGGAGCTGAATGGACAGAATTATTGGAAAACCATCTGTGTGAACACTACTAGAATAAGTTATGTCCTGAATATGAAGAATTCTCTCTCAGTCACACAAGCTGCATGCTTATAATCCCAGCTACTCGAGATGTTGAGGCAGGAAGATCATGAGTTCTGTGCATATAGAATCTGACTTTAAAAAGTCCTACTCCATGACTTTGAGGATGTTTTTGCTGCTTAGTGGTAAAAAATTGCTTAAACTTAGTGATAACACATATTGAATCAAAATATTGACAGCATTTATTACAAAACAATTCCTTTTAAGATGAATTTATAACTTTTTTCTGAATTTAAGTTTAGTCCTTTGATTATCTTAGTTGTAGACTTTATCTAGCATGAGAGAAGCCCACAACAGCGTCAAAAGCAACCAACTTCATACTTAATTGCTATTACACAGTTTTCCATTCATATTTGTAGGATGCTTTTTACCAGCAACAGAAGACTTTTAAAAAAGTTAGAATGCTTCAGAACCACACCCTGAAAGGAATTAAGCATGAAAATGAGGAGTATTTAAAGGTATGGTGTAAATTGTAATATACTGTATTTCTTTTTAGTGACTGGAAAGTTAACCAAACTCTTATATTTTTGGTTATGAGCCTAGCCTTTAATGTCTGAACCATCTCTCCAGTTCCATAATACATTCTTAATACATTTCAAAATTTATCTACTTTCCATTCTGAATTAATTGATTGTGACTGAAGTGATGAGCAAATTGGCAGATCTGTCATGATCTTGGCAGGGACTTAAATCAAATCAGAAAACGTTGAGACAATTATCAGAAATATGCTCATGCATCAATATGTAGACTATTAACACTTTCGTTATTCTCTGTTTAACTGCAATAAGTCTATACATCATTTTAACATTATTGTTTGTCCTGGTAGCCCCAGTATTTTTATTTATTGTTAAATAAGGAAGTGCTTAATTAGATTATTGAATATTTTTGTTTTTAAATGTATTATAGAGGCATTTTTCAGACATACTAGGTTTTAGAAAAATTACAGTGACCAGAATGATTTTATATGCTAATTTATGATCATAAAAAATATTCCAGATATAAGTTAGGGTTAGAATTTGTAGACTGACGGGCTGAAGAGATGGCTCAGCAGTTAAGAGTGCTTGCTGCTATTTGAGGAGCCTGAAATCTGCTTCCCAGCACCCACATCAAGAGGCTCAGCGCTCCAGCTGCAGGGAATCTGACATCCTCCGCTGGCCTCCATGAACACCCACATGTACATGCTTGCAAACATAGGCACACCCATATAAATAAATGATAAAACCTTTAAAGTGTTTTCTAGGCTTATATGATTATAAGTAGATTTGCATGTCAGTAAGTCAAGGTCTAAACAGTAGTTTTAAGACACGTTCGAAGAACTTTATACAAATTTGCATAAACATCAAGGACTGGATTAAGTCCAATTAGAGGGCTGTTGGCTACCGCCAAGATTTCCACACCACTACTGTATCTTTAGGGTTATTGTGTTGTGTTGCTAGCTGTAGTTTATATTCATTATAGCTCAATAAGTAAGATGGTTGGTTGCCTCGCTCCTTTGGAAATTTCCCTGCCACCTTCTGGTACCATAAAATCTAGCTCTCAGGGAGGAGGCTTTCAGGTCAGATCCAGCTTAGGTCCTGTGGGTCCTGTGTCCACAGTACACAGAAGAGTAGTTTAGTTCAAATCTATTTATATATTCGCAGAGAATTGGTTCCTTTTCAATTTTGCTGCTATTAACTCTAGTTAATTACCTGTTCTCCCTCTGTTCTTTGTGCCGTCCACCATAGATCTGCCATGTAAGCTATTTAAGACATCCCTTTGTTTCTGCCAATCTAATAGACAACTTCCTGTTCTAGAAGATCCCCTCCATTTACCGCATCTGCTCATTAACCTCATCTCTCTGTATAATTGCTTTGTAAACCCGCAGACTGTGTACTTCCATTCTCTGCTCATATGCTTTCCTTAGAATAGTTTTAGTTGCTTTAATTTTGAAACCAACCAATTTTGCCAACTTAGTTGGAATCACCCCATTTTTTACACTATAGCTAAAAATAGATTCATTTCTATTCCAGTATGGAGTGTTTGAATTATTTTGTTTACATGTTTTTTTTTCAATAAAGGGGTGAGCTATCTTGTGCTATTATTTTTTAAAGTCTCTCTATAAGGTTTACATAGTAGTACACCTTAAATAGCAAGTTAAAAAATAACTTGTTAGTTAAATTAACTTAAAATTTTCACTGGGTATAGTGACACAGGCAAATGATGACAATTGTGGGGAGCCTGAGAGTGAAGAATGAGAAGTTGGAGGCTAGCTTGGGCCACACAGCAAGATCCTGTAATAAAAACAAAAGTACCAAAATGTATTTTTTTGTTTTGTATAACTTTGAAATAGTCTTATAGTACAGACCACCTAATTATCTTTATTCACATTGGCAATTAGTTATAATAAGTGAATTGTAACCTGATATTTGATAACCTTATCAGAAATTCTTAAAATCACCATTTACTGATTGAACTTTTGGATTTTCTAGTGTTTCTAATTCTATACATTTTCTTTCTTTGTTTTTAAAGGTAGGGTCTTATGTGGCACAGGCTGGCCTTTGTCTTTCTATATACCTGAGTATAACCATGAAATCCTAATCCTTCTGCCTTCACTTCTCTAGTGCTAAAATTACAAGCATGTTCCACAGCTTGGTCTATATTGTTCTAGGGATGAAACCCAGGGTACATTAATGCTAGGTAAGCACTCTACCAACTGACATAAATCCCCAGCCCCACCCTGCTTTTGAGACATGTCTTCCTGTCTTGTCCTTGTTAGTGTTCTGTTCTTTATGCTTTCAGCTGAGCTTCAGAGTGACTGGGAGCTGCCCTTTTTTGTCTACCTAGCCCTAACATCTCATTAAGTTATTAATCCACACACTACCACTTGTGTACCTGCTACAATTACCTTTGATTCCTTGTTCACACACACAAACACACACATTATTTATGGTATGAATTTGGGAGTTTATATATTGCAATGTTTTTATCTTATTTATTTGTATTTTATATACATTGGTGTTTTGCCTGCATCTGTGTCTGTGTGAGGGTGTTGGATCCCCTGGAACTGGAATTACAGACAGATGTGAGTTGCCATATAGGTGCTGGGAATTGAACCCAGATCCCCTGCAAGAGCACTGAGTCATCTCTCCAGCCCCATATTACAATGTTTTATGAAGATGGAGTAGATAATAGATACTATTTAAATATGAAAGGTTTCTTAATTTTGAAAAGTAATTTTAATCTTTAGAACCTGTGATGAAAGCTTGTTTTGTAACTGTCTTCTGTGTTTTAGGGTTTGGAGAACTTGGAGGATGGCAGACTACTTAATAATGTACGCACTGAAATTAAAAAACAAATGTCTGTGTTGAAAAAGAAAATTGCAGGAAGTTAAATATTGAATTGTAACAGTATGGAATAGTAGAGGAGCAAACATACTTTGCTTTCCTTAAATATGGCACTTAACAAATGTTCTTCTGATAAATCTTGAGGAAAAACTTGAGCCTGGGTACTATTAGTTAACTAAGAAACATGTCTTTCAAATGTCATCTTTAATACTTAGCTTTTTAAAAGTGTGGCACCTTTATTCTTGTTACTTTCAAATAAAATCTAAACAGTTATGTGACCTATAGCTTGTCCTGTTCTTCAAGGCTTCAGATATTTATCTGTGTTTGTGTATTTCTCTTACAGTTTACTTTTATGAACAAAAAATGTAGGTTTGGGGGCATGGCATGGTGGCACACATCTTAAATCCCAGCACTTGGGAGGCAGAGACCAGTGGATCTCTAAGTTCAAGGCTAGCCCGGTCTGTAAAGTAAGTTGTAGGACATTCAGGGCTACAGAGACAAACCTTGTCTATATATACATGTGTGTGTGTGTGTGTGTGTGTGTGTGTGTGTGTGTGCGTGCGTGCATGCGTGTGTGTGTGTGTGTGTGTGTGTTAGTTTTAGAATAAGTATATTTCTCATCAATCACAAGGCACAAAGGATAAGGCAATTGGGGACCAGGTAATATCTATAAAAGTCAAATTTCTCCTGGGGAACCAGTGAGCTCATTAGGCTTACTTGAAGAATGTGAGTGAGGTATTGCTGGCAGAAGTGCTGGTGAACCCTAAGCAAGCACACTGAAAGTCTGTACCCAGTCATAGATAGAGTCCTTTTTCTCTAGTATTCCCCACTTTTATACCCTAACCACTCCCTGCGGCCCCAGGGCCACATACAATTAAGAAAAGAATTGCATAGAATTGGCTAGGAGTGGTGAGGACCCAACAAATCTTCCCACTCTCTTCTATGAGTGTCCAGTCAACAAACCCCGTGTCATAAAGCTTTTCTCAAGCAGGTGCAATAGTGTTATGAAGATGGCAGTTGCTCTGCTTGTATGGTAGTGATAGACAACATCCCCTCTTCTCAAGAATTTTCTGGAATGGTGTGCTGGGTGTAAGGTTAGGGTGAGCACACAGCAGAAGTCGCATGTAGAGTTTAAGCACATACATGGCATGTTATGTGTCAGGCAACATTCCAGCAAATTCACTGTAGCTCAAAGCTCCCAATTCCAGGCTTTAAACATAGAAGTATTGATGCTGCCACACTTCCTGCTCTGTGCTGCCACACTTCCTGCTCTGTGCTGCCACACATTCTGCTCTGTTGTGCATAGGATTAGGGGAACACTTGGGCACATGTAGAGCATAGACAACTCTGGACTTACCTCCACCCCAGCACACAGCTTCATCTGGATGACAGGATTTAAGTCTCCTGAGACTAGTTGAAGTCCAAGCTTCCATCTAGAAACTCGGTGACAGTCTAGGCTAAAGTGTGTTTCTAGTGACTTAATGACAGTCCCAATCCTGTTGTGTTCGTGAACAGAAGGTGAGAATGAACAATGGAAGTTTAGATGCTTTAGATATGTGAGTGACCCTCCCATTATTTGGACACTAGGCAGCAAAAGAAGGTCAGGAGACGGGAATTATACTGAAGACTCGAGATTAGAAGGCAAAGAATGAAGTCAGTCTTCACTGGAACATAGCTTGTTTTTGTTTTTATTTTTGTTACTGAAAAACTTTGAACGATTTTGATGAGCTTTGAACTATTCATCCCTGCAAAATCCTCTAGCTTTTGGAACTTTTCTGTGCATATCCAGGGTTGATTGAGGTGAAAAGGCTAAATTTTATACCCTAGCACTTTCCAGATCCAGTAAGTAGAAAGGGTGTAAATTTGGAAAGCTTCCTGTAGTTGCTCAAAAAATGGGCCCAGGAAATTCTTCTGCTCCCCAAAGAACCTTAGCAGTCTTAGGCAAACTTGTGGGTTTTCAAGCTTCACTCTGAATTTCAGTCATAGCACGACAGTGAAAAGTGTCCCATGGCCTAGGAACTGGCATACATACTGGGGTTCCAGTCAGGATGTTTGGATGGGAAAGCTTTCTCAAGAGTTAAGTAGCCTTAAAACACCCATACCCATATCAGTAGCCGAGGTCAAAAAGCCTTTTTTGCCTTTGTCTCAGTATGATGCCTTTCCTCTGAAGTAAACAGAAGGAGCTTCTGGCAACCATTCCAGGTACAGAGGACAGGTTAGAGGAGGGTGGTTAGTGCTTGGGATTTATTAGAAAAGGGAGAGGTAGTCTGGATTTTTCAGTTACACAGATCTGAAGTAGAGAAAGGAATATAGATCAGGAAAGGGTGACACCCTTCCTCTAAGTTTGTTGTCCCCTGCCCAGGAGGTGGTGGGGCCTGTCACAAGGGAAAAACAGAGGTCAGGACTTGAGTCAGGTCTGGAGCATGATGTTCTCCTAAGCAGGAGCCAAGGGCAGTGAAGGAAGTGAGGGGAGGTGGGGAAACTGGATATCTCCAGGAGGAATAGTGGTGGTCACAGAGGGAGAAGGGGATTAGAAAGAACATATCTAGATACAGAAGGGAAAGTCAAGGAATTTAGGATGGGGGTAAGGACCAGAAGTGGATAGAGTGTTGTGACATGGGACAGAGGGGCTTGAGGTTGGGAGAAGGAGGATGAATCTGGAGATGGGTAAATTGGGGATGACAAGCAATTAATGTGGGTTATAGGAAGGGGAAGAAAAAACAGGTCCTTGATCCCTAGGCAGGACAGGACATGCAGCAGGAGGCTGGTGATAAACATTTTTAGAAACCAAGGCAGAGGATTATCAAGCACAAACCTTAAGCCAAACGAGTGAGTTTTGAACAGGTGACAAACATTGGTTAATATAAAGAAACTGATCAGGGTGGCCTGGGTCCAATATGGACCCAAACTGCTTTTGCAATAGCAAAGGTCCAGGGAACTGGTAATGGCCACCCCACTTCATAAAGAGGGACATTCAATCTCACAGTAAGTGCACAGTCCTCTTTTAGAGAGTGTGCACCCATATTCTTTCCTAGACCGTAGGGAGAAATTCTTTAGCATACATTGAAGGGGTAGGAGTTTAGAGTTGGTGGTGCCCATGTTAGGAGAAAATGTATGTAACTTGAAGAAGTAAAATATTAATATGAGTTGTAGATGGAAGTGTCTGTCCCACCCAGTCCCGCAGCCCTCCAATCCCAAAGAAACACACAGAGTCTTATATTAATTATAAACGGTTTGGTTTATTACCTCAGGTTTAGTATTAACTAGCTCTTACAACTTAAATTAACCCATAATTCTTCTCTGTTTAGCCGTGTGGCTTGGTACCTTTTCTCAGTGCAGCATTCTCATCTTGCTTCCTCTGCATCTGACTGGTGACTCACTCTATGCCTTTCCTCTTCCCAGAATTCTCTTAGTTTGGCCACTCTCCCTATACTTCCAGCTTGGCTACTAGCCAATCAGGGTTTTATTAAACTAATATAAGTAACAAATCTTTACAGTGTATAAGAGCAGTTTCCCACAACAATGAGCAACCCAGTAGTACTGGCAATGAAGAGATCGACCCCATGTATACCTTTCACAGTTTTCCTGTTGTTGGAGAAAAGGAGAATCCAAAGCACAGCAGTGGTGTGTGTGTGTATGTGTGTGTATATGTGTGCGCGCGCGCACGCACACACACATGCCTGCATACACATTAGGAACACATTAGTATAATGAAAATTTCTTCTAGAGAACAAAAGGGGACCATTTTTGCAAACAAAAAGACAAAAGGTGAACAGTAGCTCACTAGTGGCAGAATCTGGAGAATCTGGCAAACTCTCCATCAAGTGAGTGTAGAGTATCCCAGCTTCCCTTTCCTCTAAACCAACAACAGAAAAGGATCATAAGGAATATTCAGACTGAATCCTGAGCTCCTGTCTCTTCCTGCCTTATATTCTTCTCTCTGCCCAGCCATATCCCTTCGTGTCTCTACCTCCCTATTGTGGGGGATAAAGGTTTGTAACTCCCAAGTACTGGGATTGAAGGTGTGAGCCAACACTGCCTGACTCTGAGTCTCTTAGACAGATTGATCTTGAGTAGCCCAGGGTGGCCTTGAACTCACAGAGATACATCTGCCTCTGTCTCCTGAGTGCTGGGATTAAAGGTGTGTGCCACCACTGCCTGGCCTCTATGGCAAACTAGTGGCTAGCTTCACACTCTGGTCCTCTGGCAAACTTTATGTTAGAGCACAAACAAAATATCACCACAGCAGGCCACTCAGTTCTGCATGCATCCTGGCCCTCAGACACCAGGTGGCTGGTCTGACCCTGCTCATCCTCATGGTACTCAGTGGCAACAGGAGCCATATATGTCAGTCTAGACCCTGGCCACTACAGGGCCATGGACCCAGACATGGCCCTGAGAAACAACCTGGGCCAGGATGACACTAAGGCCCAAGGTGGCAGCACAAGCCACCCATATCTGTATGGTCCCTGCTGTGGCATGGACCCCAGAGTCCAACCAAGCTTCCGGCTCTGGCCCAGATCCTGGGCCTCTGTGTGCATCCTAGTGGCAACCTGGGCCACAAACTTCAACACACCCCAGCTGCAGGTGGGTCATGGACCCAGACATGGCCCCAGGCAGCAACTTGACCTGGTCAACTCAGATCATCCTAGCTCCAAGTGGTAGCCTGGCCACTCATATCAGAATGTTTCTTGTAGTAGCATGGCCCTTGGACACCAGTAAAGCCACAGGTTCCAGCCAAGACCCCAGGCTTCATGTGACCTTTGGCGGCAACATGGGCCATGAGCATCCCCAGGCTTTGGTTGTGGTAGGACCGTGTGAAATGTTTTTGTACCTTGATATTAAATCTTTCTGCCAATGAAGCAAGCTAAATCAAGTGAATTAAGAATAAAAATTCCAGGTTTATTGGTAAATGTTTCCGTATGATTCTGTCTCTGGCCCCCAGAGAGGAGACAAGGAGAGGAGACTGAAAAACCGTATGACCTTTCCTTATGAGCCACTTAAATACCCTTTAGGCATGGTCTTGAGCATCTCTGGACCACAATTTTCTGGGCTGTCTGAGACTGCGAAGAGTTTGGAGAAAGAGAGATGTGGAGGGGAGACTGAGGCAAA